AAACTGGTAATTAGACCTAGAGAGTTAATTAGATGCAGGTATTTTTTTTTTAGTTGAAAATACCTCATTGGGGGTATCCTCCACTTGCTGTTGAGTCAAATCAGGAGGACCTGCTGTCCAGTTTTCTGTCTTCTAGTGATGTTAAGATTGGTCGATCAGTGGATTCATGAACAGCCTGATTCATCCATTATGAAGCAGTCAGCCTTTCATCTCATGATTTTTGCAGCCATTTATGATTATTGCTTAGATCGATTATTTCTTTGGGGTTATAAAATGGTCATTTTCTAATCTTAGCATTCCTCCTATATTTATTAGCATCAATTATTCTATAAATAACTATTTCTTGAAACTACTGGGATACCTTGAAATACAGTTTAAGCATAAAAAACATGAAGAACGCTTGATTTGTTCCCTCTGTCAGTTTTCAGAATAATGAGTTGGGGATTCCTTTTGGAGGTTCCAGTGAAGTGTTTCTTTTCTTTTTTTCTCTTTTCATTATGAACTCATGAATTTTTAACATACTTGTATTTCAGTCCACTGCAGATACAATTTTTCTAATGCTCAGATTGTCCCATCTTTGGCTAATGGGAGCCTAATGAAATTGGTGCTTGTATCTTTTTGACGTGGCCCAGTTGTTTCTAATCACTTCCTTTCTGGCCGAAAAGAGTCCCAGAGCTCATTGCTTACATGTTCTGTTATGGCCTGGAATTGGCTAATTCTCCAAGGAACTATGGTTTCTTTTAGTGGAAAATGGTATGAATATGCTAAAACCACAAATTGGGTGTTAGGAGTGCTCATTGCACTGGGTTGTCATTACTTCCAGACATTTTCATTGGTCAGAACCAGGAAGAGAAAAATACATCATGAATTCATATTGATATTTCCAGTTCAAATTTAAGATTGTGAGATTTTTTACTTAATTTCTTTGATTTGATATTTTTATTTCTTTCCTCTTATGCTGAAAAATCTTAGTTCCTAGTGCTGTTAGTACAATTTGTATATATGTTCAAAATAACAGCAGTAATATGACTAATACTAAATAGTTTAATATTTCTATAGTGCCATTTGTCTTTAGGACACATTCCACAATGGATTTGCAAATTACTGTGTTTTAAAATCGCTTGAAATAATTCTCTGTGTGGTTTTGTCACCAATTGATGTATAATTAGGTATATTTGCTTTCAATTTTTAGGAATTCCTTATTTCTCTTTTTTGGATTTAATCCTGTTTTATAATTTTTTGAAGCATTTGCATGGTA